AGATTTTCAATTTCAAATTGAGAATATTCCAAATTATAATGCGAATTTCCATTTAATATTTAGAAAAGTTCAATTGAAACTGAGAATTTGGAATTTAAATTAAAATTGAGAAAGTTTCAAATGAAATTGAGAAAATTTTAAATGAAATTAAGAAAATTTCAAATGAAATTGAGAACCTTTTATTTATATACACATTTTAAATATAAAAAACAAATAATAAAGAAATTCCAATGTTAATCCACCGATTGTCGAGGAACAATGGCTGGTTTATCATGAATACTATGTAGGAATACCACTCAAGCGATATGTGTTGGTAGTCTGAATACGTCAAATTAAAAAAAATATTAAAATATGGTCTGAATTTCCCGCTAATTAGGTTAAAAGTTCATATCCCAGTATAAAGTATAAAAAGTTTCGCAGAATTTTTCGAAATGATTGACAATCATGTTCAAATTTTAAGTTTTCACGGGACATTCATGTATTGCACTTGTATATACATATGTATGTATGTATATATACATTTATTTGCAAATTAAAAATTTTTCAAAATCATTTGTAATTTTCTCAATTTCATTTGAAAGTTTCCCAAATTCAATTGGAATTTTCTCAATTTCAATTCATTCTCAATTTCAATTGTAGTTTTCTAAATTTCAAATGGAAATTCGCATTTTCATTTATAATATTCTCAATTTGATACTGAAAACCTCAAAGACTATAGACTAGACTAAACACTAGACTATAGACTAGACTATAGACTAGACTATAGACTAGACTATAGACTAGACAATAGACTAGCCTAGACTATAGACTAGACTATATACTAGACTATAGACTAGACTATAGAATAGACTATAGACTAGACTATAAACTAAAGGCCATTTCAAAAATTTTCGAACAGGTTTTGTACCTTACCCTCTCTGATTTCGAAGAAATTCGGTACAAACATTTTTCATGTAAATACGGAATTCGAGTTTCTCCAAAATTTCTAAATTCGTTACGGTTCAGATTTTATCGAGGTTCAAAGTTCATATTTTTTAGGATTTTTTTCAACAAGCATTTAATTTTACATCGTATATTTTCGTTTTAGTCTCCAATTAAAGCCTATGTCTTGTAGTTCAACAATATTTTATTTAAAATATTATAATTTTAACATAAGGATAATGATATCTAAAAACGTCCTTCAGTCAAGGATATCTCAAAAAGGCACCTTCCATTTTATTTAAATCTTTACGTAAGATTGCTTATAGTGTACCTAAATATATATAAAAACAAGTTAAAGTGCTATATTCGGCTGAGCCGAATCTTAAATACCCTCCACCAGCTACTTTTATATTAATACTGTTTTAATTGATCAAATATTTGTAGAAATAAGTTTTCTCATGTCTTAAATAGAAAAACACCAAGAGTTAGACAGCTTAAATCTGTTACAATTGCAAGATTTATTGAACATTACAAATGCCATCTTCTTTTATATTTTTATAGCGCCCTAAGAAATGCTTTAGCGATATTTAATAATTTGCATGTATGCATGCGTGTAAAAGATTTAAGCAAATTCACAAAAATTTAAGATTTATTGAACATTACAAATGCCATTTTCTTTTATATTTTTATAGCGCCCTAAGAAATGCTTTAGCGATATTTAATAATTTGCATGTATGCATGTGTGTAAAAGATTTAAGCAAATTCACAAAAATTTAAGGAAATTCACAGTTTGATATGTGCCGGTTCACACAGGGAAACTTTTGATTTTGTGTGTGAGAGAAAGAGATGATTGATATTTCTTTTTTCCTCATACACAAAAATCAAAAGTTTCCCACTCTAATGCAACTGGTTAATACGGTTAAAGTGATTTTCGGTTTCGCAGTAACATTTCTGTATATAAGAGCGATACTTGTACCAAATTTTATATGGATTTAGAAATATGTAACATTTCGGTATATAAGAGCAATACTTGTACCAAATTTTATATGAATATCTTGATTTAGTAATGAGCATTTAAATGATTTTCGGGAGGGAACTTTTTATGGGAGCTATGTCCAATTAAGGACCGATCGGAAACAAATTTTTCAGTAATATTTCTGTAGCAATACTTGTGCCAAATTTTATAAGGATATCTTAATTTAGTAATGTGTTATGTGCTCTTAAGTGATTTTCGGGAGGGGACTTTTATGGGAGCTATGACCAATTATGGACCGATCGCAAAAAAAATTACAGTAATATTTCTGTATAATACTTGTACTAAATTTTATATGGATATCTTAATTTAGTAAGTGTAGTATATAAGTATGCATATAAGGTACCTTTCCCCTATGTACATACATATGTTATGAAGAATAATTTAAGTTAATTTTGTCGATAAAGTTCTCTCGCCAACCTTTTTTTAAAACATCCAACCAATTGCGACCCAATAATGAATCAAATGGCTTCTCTGTTCTAATTATAAATAAGTCCAACAAAAAATCACTTACTTTTACTTTAATCACCCCGCATAAAGATATTTTTTGACCGCTAACATTTACTAATGTATTTTCCACATTTGTAAGTTTTTTGGAGCCAAAATATTTTTTATAAACTTCTTCAGACGCCACTGATACTGCCGATCCCGTATCAATTTCAAATTTTAATTTTACATTTTCGACTAAAAGATAAACAAAAATTGAATTATTTTCAATACCTACGCTATTCAAATTTGATAATACATTATTAACTCTTTTTGTTTTACACATATTTGCTAAGTGTCCTTTTAGTCCACATCGATAGCAATTCCAATCACGAACTCTACACTTCTCTGGCAGATATTTTCTTCCACACCTCTCGCATAACCCATTCTGTTTACCGTGTTCTACCATTCCTCTCTTGGACAATCTCTTAATTGGGTAGTTACTGCTGGCACTATCCTCACTTCCTTCTTCCATCGCGTCCTCATACACCCTTGTTTTTCGTATTGCCCTTTCATTATACCTATTTTCCATAGCATTTAAACTAGTTTGGGTTTGATCTTCTATAAGGGCAATATTTTTTGCTTCCTCCCATGATAATGATATCTGATTTAGCAATCTTGCTCTTAACTTTTTGTCAATAACACCACATACCAATCTGTCTCGTAATGCTTCAGATAAAAATGTGCCGAAATTACAGCTACTAGCCAGAGACTTCAATTCCACAATATATTCACCAAGCGGCTCGCCCTCTTTTTGATTGCGGGTGTAAAATTTGTACCTTTCAGCAGTCTCATTTAGATTAGGAGCATAGTGTGTCTTTAAAGTTGCTATAATTTCTTCCAACGGAACCGCCTTAGGTTCTTTAGGAGAACACAATGACCCTAGCGTTTCAAACGCAATTGGATCTATCATAGTCAGTAACACCGCTACCTTTTTTGAATTTAGAATATCGTTTACTACGAAGTATTGCTCCAAACGCTGAAGGTATAAATTAAAATTTTCCCCAGGCAAAAAGGGTTCCATATGTCCAATTAAAGCCATTATAAAATGTTCTTAACTTTCTTTTATTATTTTAACACGTGTTTTGAATATCTTTTTATTCTCGTCGCCACTGATAAGTTGTTTTCTTCTTTATTACGTTTTTACTACTGAATCCAAATCATGTTCTTACATGCTAAAAATATTTCTTACAAAGAGAACCGTTAACTTAAATTATTCTTCATAACATATGTATGTACATAGGGGAAAGGTACCTTATATGCATACTTATATACTAATTTTTTTAGGGGGGAAAAGTGTAGTATATAAGTATGCATATAAGGTACCTTTCCCCTATGTACATACGGAATTCGAGTTTCTCCAAAATTTCTAAATTCGTTACGGTTCAGATTTTATCGAGGTTCAAAGTTCATATTTTTTAGGATTTTTTTCAACAAGCATTTAATTTTACATCGTATATTTTCGTTTTAGTCTCCAATTAAAGCCTATGTCTTGTAGTTCAACAATATTTTATTTAAAATATTATAATTTTAACATAAGGATAATGATATCTAAAAACGTCCTTCAGTCAAGGATATCTCAAAAAGGCACCTTCCATTTTATTTAAATCTTTACGTAAGATTGCTTATAGTGTACCTAAATATATATAAAAACAAGTTAAAGTGCTATATTCGGCTGAGCCGAATCTTAAATACCCTCCACCAGCTACTTTTATATTAATACTGTTTTAATTGATCAAATATTTGTAGAAATAAGTTTTCTCATGTCTTAAATAGAAAAACACCAAGAGTTAGACAGCTTAAATCTGTTACAATTGCAAGATTTATTGAACATTACAAATGCCATCTTCTTTTATATTTTTATAGCGCCCTAAGAAATGCTTTAGCGATATTTAATAATTTGCATGTATGCATGCGTGTAAAAGATTTAAGCAAATTCACAAAAATTTAAGATTTATTGAACATTACAAATGCCATTTTCTTTTATATTTTTATAGCGCCCTAAGAAATGCTTTAGCGATATTTAATAATTTGCATGTATGCATGTGTGTAAAAGATTTAAGCAAATTCACAAAAATTTAAGGAAATTCACAGTTTGATATGTGCCGGTTCACACAGGGAAACTTTTGATTTTGTGTGTGAGAGAAAGAGATGATTGATATTTCTTTTTTCCTCATACACAAAAATCAAAAGTTTCCCACTCTAATGCAACTGGTTAATACGGTTAAAGTGATTTTCGGTTTCGCAGTAACATTTCTGTATATAAGAGCGATACTTGTACCAAATTTTATATGGATTTAGAAATATGTAACATTTCGGTATATAAGAGCAATACTTGTACCAAATTTTATATGAATATCTTGATTTAGTAATGAGCATTTAAATGATTTTCGGGAGGGAACTTTTTATGGGAGCTATGTCCAATTAAGGACCGATCGGAAACAAATTTTTCAGTAATATTTCTGTAGCAATACTTGTGCCAAATTTTATAAGGATATCTTAATTTAGTAATGTGTTATGTGCTCTTAAGTGATTTTCGGGAGGGGACTTTTATGGGAGCTATGACCAATTATGGACCGATCGCAAAAAAAATTACAGTAATATTTCTGTATAATACTTGTACTAAATTTTATATGGATATCTTAATTTAGTAAGTGTAGTATATAAGTATGCATATAAGGTACCTTTCCCCTATGTACATACATATGTTATGAAGAATAATTTAAGTTAATTTTGTCGATAAAGTTCTCTCGCCAACCTTTTTTTAAAACATCCAACCAATTGCGACCCAATAATGAATCAAATGGCTTCTCTGTTCTAATTATAAATAAGTCCAACAAAAAATCACTTACTTTTACTTTAATCACCCCGCATAAAGATATTTTTTGACCGCTAACATTTACTAATGTATTTTCCACATTTGTAAGTTTTTTGGAGCCAAAATATTTTTTATAAACTTCTTCAGACGCCACTGATACTGCCGATCCCGTATCAATTTCAAATTTTAATTTTACATTTTCGACTAAAAGATAAACAAAAATTGAATTATTTTCAATACCTACGCTATTCAAATTTGATAATACATTATTAACTCTTTTTGTTTTACACATATTTGCTAAGTGTCCTTTAAGTCCACATCGATAGCAATTCCAATCACGAACTCTACACTTCTCTGGCAGATATTTTCTTCCACACCTCTTGCATAACCCATTCTGTTTACCGTGTTCTACCATTCCTCTCTTGGACAATCTCTTAATTGGGTAGTTACTGCTGGCACTATCCTCACTTCCTTCTTCCATCGCGTCCTCATACACCCTTGTTTTTCGTATTGCCCTTTCATTATACCTATTTTCCATAGCATTTAAACTAGTTTGGGTTTGATCTTCTATAAGGGCAATATTTTTTGCTTCCTCCCATGATAATGATATCTGATTTAGCAATCTTGCTCTTAACTTTTTGTCAATAACACCACATACCAATCTGTCTCGTAATGCTTCAGATAAAAATGTGCCGAAATTACAGCTACTAGCCAGAGACTTCAATTCCACAATATATTCACCAAGCGGCTCGCCCTCTTTTTGATTGCGGGTGTAAAATTTGTACCTTTCAGCAGTCTCATTTAGATTAGGAGCATAGTGTGTCTTTAAAGTTGCTATAATTTCTTCCAACGGAACCGCCTTAGGTTCTTTAGGAGAACACAATGACCCTAGCGTTTCAAACGCAATTGGATCTATCATAGTCAGTAACACCGCTACCTTTTTTGAATTTAGAATATCGTTTACTACGAAGTATTGCTCCAAACGCTGAAGGTATAAATTAAAATTTTCCCCAGGCAAAAAGGGTTCCATATGTCCAATTAAAGCCATTATAAAATGTTCTTAACTTTCTTTTATTATTTTAACACGTGTTTTGAATATCTTTTTATTCTCGTCGCCACTGATAAGTTGTTTTCTTCTTTATTACGTTTTTACTACTGAATCCAAATCATGTTCTTACATGCTAAAAATATTTCTTACAAAGAGAACCGTTAACTTAAATTATTCTTCATAACATACTTATATACTAATTTTTTTAGGGGGGAAAAGTGTAGTATATAAGTATGCATATAAGGTACCTTTCCCCTATGTACATACATATGTTATGAAGAATAATTTAAGTTAACGGTTCTCTTTGTAAGAAATATTTTTAGCATGTAAGAACATGATTTGGATTCAGTTGTAAAAACGTAATAAAGAAGAAAACAACTTATCAGTTATAAAGAAGAAAACAACTTATCAGTAAGGAGTTATGCATTTTTAAGTGATTTTGATTTGTATGGGAGCTATGACCAACTATGGACCGATCCTGAAAATTTTTTCTCTGAATGAATTTTATTCACATAAGATTTTACTTGTTAAATTTTGTGAAGCTATCAACATTCTGACGGAAGTTATTAGCAATAAACTCATTTTCCGGGAATATGTACTTTTGTATGGGAGGTATATGAAATTGTGGACCGATTCCGCCAATTTTCAGCAGTATTCAAGCTCTTGTGTAGAAATGAATGTATGATGATTTTCATGCAATTATATTGTATGGTTTTCGTGAAAATTACATCAGAATGTGTAAAAAAAATGCTTATTTTTTCGGAGTTGTTTTTAATTTTGATTCATAACTTTTCCCGATGTTAACCGATTTTGCTCATTTTCAATAGCAAACTGCCTAGGACAATAGTAAATATTTTGGGTGAATTTCGTTAGTTTTATTTGCTTCGTGTTAACGTGAGAATGTTTTATACAGACAGACAGACGGGCGGAGAGACTGATATAGCTAGATCAACTTAGAATTTCATAAGGTCCAAGAATATATATACTTTGTTGGGTCTCAGATGAATATTTCTTGATGTTACACACTATCACCACTGATGGTATAAAAATTCAGAATTGGACGATGAGGGGATCTGAAGTAAATCAACTTTTAGTAAAATAATCCATATCATTTCCATACAAATTTCAAAAATTGTAATTTTTTGTTTATGAACAATTTAATTTTTGTTTAAAAAATTTGTTTAACTATAAATTTTGAAATTTGTATGGGAATGATGTGGATTATTTTACTAAAAGTTGGTTTACTTCAGATCCCCTAATTGTCCCATTCCAAATTTTTTATATATTGTTGAGTACACTATAAGCAATCTTATGTGAAGGAATAAAGAAAATGGAAGGTACCTTTTTTGAGATATCCTTGACTAAAAGCCGTTGTTTGATGTCATCATCCACACGTTAAAAATGTAATATTTTAAATAAAATATTGTCGAACTACAAGACATTGGCTTAAATGGGGACTAAACGATTAAAATCGGATAAATAATTAAAAAAAAATATACCTGAAATTTAATACTTGTTGAAAAAAATTCAAAATCCTACTTTTTTGTTCGAAAATTTTTGAAACTACCCTATATATTGTATGTTGTTGTCAACCAATTAATAACAAAATAAACAACAAAAATAATAATTATCTTTAATTTACGCAAGTGCTTATTTCTATTAAATGTCACAACTACTTTGTCTCAGATATCTATTTTATAAAAATAAAAGAAAACCAGTCATTTTAGCGCCTATTGACATTTTTGTATGAGGTGATAACACTCTTTTTCAGAAAATAGACAAAGAACAGCTGTTATTTGACGCTGTTTGATCTTACATTTGGTTTGCAAGATCAAATAATTATTTTGCCAAAATAATGTAAATTATTTGACTTGTGGTGTTCACATTGATGAAACAATGAGAAAATATTTATTTGGCAGCAAATCAATTTGTTTTATGAAAATCATCAGCATTGCTGTTTGTTAACATGAAATATTTTATGTTCAGATTCGACAAAGTTTTTTCAATCGTGTATATATATTAATATTATACACTTTTATTATATAAATTTAATTTTAAACCTAATAAAAATAGTTAAAATTAAAACAAATTGGTAAATTGTTTTTTTCATACATGAAAATATACGATATACTGTGGCTGTAAAACATGTGTTTGTTTGAACCAAATTATTTTTGCACTGTTTGATAAAACAATACCACCAAATATTTGTTCAAGTCTGAACATGAAATAAATATTGCGTTTGTTTGACGCAACTTCAAAAATATTTTATTACAAATATTTGGACCAAATATTTTTCAAGTGTGAACGTAGCTTAAGTAATATTACATATTTCTAATAGGTATTTTGTATTTTCTCAAATAATAGAGTGCAGGTAGGGTTCAATAAGTAATGCAGTACATCGCAAATCAGGCATGTGAGTTTCACTTTCTTCGCCATCAGAGTCAAAATTTTCCAACTCATTTGAAATTTTGGTTGATGATAGAGGAAAATTTGAATGTCTAACTTTGTCCAGATTATCGTTGAAATCCAGAGAAGGTGAAACAGCACCATCGGGTTCAGCTCTACAATATAAATTATTATTCATGTCAGATACGTGTTGATTCAGAGTTTGAGTATTGTGGTTATTATATCTATCATTTATATTAAGAGGCAAACTTCTATATTCCTCATTTTCTGTATTAGCCTTAAGGTGAAGCCTAAGTTGGTTTCTTAAGTTCGCCTTTTCCGGAGCTCTTTTTCTTTGGAAGTCCTCCTCAACTCTGATATGTAGAAAAAAATAACATAAGTTTATAATACATGATGTTTTAATAATTTTAATTACCTTTTCATAGCTTCTAATTCATTGAGCCGTTGTGCTTCTTGTATTTCCGCGTCTTTGGATAATTTCTCAGCTAATCTACGCTTTTCCAAAACACGTACAGTACTTTGAAAACTAAAGCGATGTGTGTTCTTTTCTGGCACCCCAACATTACTCTGAAAATATAAATAAATAAAAACTTACTTAAATATTTTTTCGATTAAGCTATGTCCGTCAGCCCGTCCTTCTGGCTGGCTGTCCATGTAAACCTTGTGCGCAAGGTACAGGTCGCAATTTTCAAGATAATTGGACGTTTTATTTGACCCAAGGACGAAGCCTATTGAAAATGGTTAAAATCGGTCCATTATTTCACCTAGCCCCCATAGAACAGAACCCCCCGAAAAGGGCTTCTGAGCTCATAATTATGTTCAATATACTAAGTTTTATAGAAGTCTTGATGACCCTGATAAATTTCATAAAGATCGGGCCCCATTTGACCCTAGCTCCCATACAAAGTCCCCTTCAGAAAATTACTTGAATGTCCCAAATTAACTTATAAACACTAATATCGCGATGAAATTCAGCACAATAAAATATTATGTAAATATAAATATATTCACAAAATTTTATCGGGCTTGGTCCATATTTGCCCCTAGCCCCCATATAAAGCCTCTTTCAGAAAATTAGTTTTTCATCCATAAGTTGCTTAAATGTATCGGAACAAGGTAATAGAAGATAAATGCTTTATTATGAAAAATAAATCACATTTAATATTCATAACTGGGGTAGGATATCATATGGTCGGCCACGCCCGACTATACTTTCTTACTTGTTTCAATATATATTTGTTTTAATGATATTGACAAAATTTATGAAAATTTTACCTGTTTGAATAAAATTACTTTATAATAAAATATTTTGTACACAATAGCTTGGAAAAAATCCACCTTTAGATCCGAAATTTTGAAATTTGAGCCGATGGGCACCGAAAATAATTAGTAGAACAGTGTTTCTCATTTCTACGAAATATTTTCCCACTTTAGACCCGGATTTTGGATCTGGTGGTCATTGAACCTGCCAAATGATGCATTAGAAGTTGAATTTTTAACTTTTGGAAAAGAGTTGATATTTTTAAAATAATGCGATATGCTTGGAACTCCGATTTCTTAATACTTACAACATATACTTGAACATTTTGATAATTCCATATATTTCCTTTAATTTAAACAGATTTTTCAAATCCTCCGATTTCCAAAGTATACAAAAATACTACTAACCATACCTTGATATACCCGAGACAATAACCATGTTTTATGGATCGGGCATTTTATTTGTGGTAAATTTTGCACCTATTTAGCTTCACCATAAATGAGAAATCAAATAACAAAAATATCCAGAAAACAAGTTAGAGTGCTATATTCGGCTATGGCGAATCTTAAATACCCTCCACAGGCATGGCAAAATTGGTACGATGGTACTTTTTTGATACTATTTGATGTTCAAAAGTACCGTTGTACTCCCGAGTCTTATTTGATACTCTCAGGGCCAGACAGATAGATAAAGAATTTTTGTATGAAAACCTTTAATATATCGTTTCGATAAAAAAATAACAGGTTAAAGTATATTTAAAATTTCAAATTTTAAATTCCAAGAGTCTTTTAGCACATTGTTATATAAAATTCTCAAAAATGCATCAACTAAAAGCCGTTTTTTCTAAAAAAAAATAATAATCTATTTATATAAAAGAGTAGCGTTACTGACTGACTGATTCATCGCACAGCCCAAACGGCTGAACCTAGAATCATGAAATTTTGACAGTAGATGTGTTTTTGGTTATGTAGATCCATTAAGGAGGGATTTTTAGAAATTTGTACATTTACGGGTAAAAAGGGGAAAAAACGGGTAAAACAGGTTTTCTTAATTATCTTACACAATATTAGTGATACAAGAAAAATTTTAAATGCAAATGAATCTACTCTTAAAATGAGCAGATGGGTTTGTGGTACTTTTTTGAAATTCGTACTTTTAAGGGGTGAAAGAAAGGTGATTTTGGTACCTTTTTTGGCCCTTTATAACTTTTGAACTAATTAATATAATACAATTTTTATAAATATTTTGGATACATCTCCCAAAATTATGAGACACCTGTTTCGTACTTTTTTAATATTCAGTCCTTTTTGGGTGTAAAAGGGAAAAGACTGTATTTATGGTACTTTTTCGGTTTATTGAATTATTCCTATTAAATTACGGACTAACTCTGTAATATTTACTGTAAGAAAATTTTGTCTATATCACTGGGGAAAAAAGTACCAAAAAGGGAAAAAACGGGAAATTTAATTTTATTCAAACTCATTGAGCCAATTTTTATAAAATTTGAAAAAGTAGTTTATTTACTCAAAATAAGCTTTTGGTATATTATTTTGGAATTCGAGTACTAAGGCCTATATAGGACCAAATTCGAGTAAATTGTGTGGTACTTTTTGAAAGCACTATTTTTCTGGAACAAATAAATGCAGATTTGAATCGTTTGAGTTTTATCTGTGATATATAGATTTAAATACGGATCATTTTGTAAACTTAATTCTCGAAAAAGTATATTCCTAAGCGAAAAGGGGAAAAATTGTATTCTTTATTAGTACTTTCCACTTAGGTAAAATTTATTCCACTTTTGGTACTTTTTCTTTCTTCAAATGATACTCTTTGTATGTTTTTTAATATAAATTCAAAACACATGATTATTAAACATACACGGTCCTCATAGAATAAGATTCTTTAAGAGAGAACTTTTTAGTACTTTTTATCTCATAAATGGTACTTTTTTAATTTTATAAAATATTCAACCAAGGAACATTAATTTTAACACACACGGTTTTGATTGAATAATAGAGGGAACTATTTGGTACTTTTATATTCTTCAAATGGTACCTTTTAGATTCTTTATAATTGTTAACCGGAACACATTGAGAGATTTTTGTACTTTTTCGTTTTTCCGATGGTACTTTTTGATATTTTTACGATATTGAACATAGATATTGAAAATTCAATTTAAAATGTAGGGACCTTAGTGAATGAGAATCTACTGAATGTGACTTTTGGTACTTTTTCATTCATTAAAATTATATATAAATAAATTATATATATATTTTGAATTATATATAATATTGAACACAGAAACATAAAATTTTTGATTAAATGATAATCTATTAGAGGTATTTTATTGTACTTTTTTTCAAATAGTACTTTCGAAATTTTCTATAATGTGGAAGCTAAATGAATGAAACTAAAAATACAAGCTTCTTACTGAATGCGAATTTAATCACGGGATATTGAACGTATAAAACTGAAACATTAAAAAAATGTTTAATCAATTTTAATTTTCTATAAAAGTAAACAAAATTTTGTATGTATTTAATATAAGTTAGGGTAGCGAAGCACCCAGGGTATGCTAGTAAAATTATAAACGGCTTAAAAAGATGTACATATTTTTATCTTGATTGACATTATATGAATATTAATCTCACGACGGATGTTAATTCAATAACACATATTTAATCGATTTATTGACAATGAACAGTCGATACTAATACTTGTAGCTCAATTATTAGCATTTAGTTGAAATTCTAAATTCGTCCTTTTATAGGGCGAAATGTGGCCTGATTTTAATTAATGCCGGATTTATTAAAATGTAATAAATTATATCATGACAGCTTTAAATTTAAGATATTTACATAGTACAATATCTGGCTAATATTTGAGATGTAAATGGTGAACATTGAGGGACGGACAAGGATTCATCATATTAACATATAATGCCTTTCTACTTCTGTTATGGATTGTTTAAAAAAAATTAAATGTAAATGTAGTTAAGAAATTGCCATCATTTAGCAAAAAAAATATTTTAGTACTTTGAGATCCAAAAAAGTACCCTCTGAAATATTTTTTGATACTGACACAAAATCTCATTTTCCATCCCTGACCCTCCACCAGGAAGCTACCTTTTATTAAAACCCATTTAACTATCTAATTTTAAGATAACTTGACTTCATATAGGATCTACGACCAATTACGGGCCTCTCCAGAAAAATTTTGTAGAGTAATTCATATGTATGTACACAAAACATATTTGTGTCGAATTTTATCAAGATAGTTTTATTTAACAATGAAATATGTGAGTTTAAATGATTTTCGGAAGAGAGCCTTATATGGGAGCTATGACCAATAATGGAGAGATCCGGGGAAAAATTGTTAGAATGATTTATACGTATACAAAACATATTCAAGTTTATTTTATACCGATAGCTTTATTTATCAATGAAACATATTCATTTAAATGATTTTCGGAAGTGGACCCTATATGGGAGCTATGAATTATGGTCTTATCCGTGGGCCTTATATGGGAGCTATGGCTAATAATGGGCCGATCCGAAAAGAAATTTGGTAGAATGATTTGTATGTACACAAAACATATTCAGTTCGAATTTTATCACAAAAGCTTTATTTGTCAATGAAATATGTGCGTTTAGGTGATTTTTGGAAGTGGACCTTACATGGGAGCTATGACCAATTGTGAACCGACTGAGATCTACGTTGGTAGTATGATTTCTATTCATATTATATTTGTATGTACAAAATTTTGTGTTGATACTGATATATTTGAGGGAATTATTAACGATAAACTTATATCCTTTGTATGGGGGCTAAGGGAAATATTGGACCAATTGTTATGAGTTTGAACATACTAGATCCCTGGCACAAAAAAATAATGCGTGACCAAATTCATCGAAATATCTTTGGTAGTTTCTGAGAAAACTACTTAAGAATTGGGCAAAAAAACTTTATTTTTTTCGAGGAAGTCTGAAATTTATAATCATAACTTTTTACGTCGTGAGCCGATTTTTTCTGATTTTCAATACCAAACTGTACCGGATAATAAGGAATGTTTTAGGTGAATTTCGTGAATTTTTATTGCTTCGTTTTAACGTGAGCGTGTTTTACACAGACAGACAGACGGAAGGACGGACATAGCTAAATCGACTCAGAATTTCATAAGGATCAAGAATATATATACTTACTTGGGTCGCAGATGAATATTTCTTAGTGTTACACACGGAATGACAAAGTTCTATCACCACTGATGGTGGTGGAGGGTATAAAAAAAACTCTATATGATATTGAT